CTGGTATGAAATCAACCCTAAAGGTCTTAGAGAATTCTGGTATTTCCTGACACAAGTCCATCAACCTCTATCAAAGTGAACCTTGGTAACTGTGATTATATTGACCATTACTTTGCTTTCTGAGTATGACTTTTCAGCAGTGGTTCTGATTTTTAGAAAGTCAATGTCAACTGGACATGCATATTGATGTCTTATTCTCCATAATCTAAATATCTTATTCAAAACAAATAGCAGTAGCCTACTTGTTAATATTTATTTGAGCAAGAGGCAAGTTAATTTTTGTGTGACTTCACAATTTGAATTCACTTCCCTTTTTTACCCAGAACTGGAAATTTATTTTTAGATTAGAACTCATTTGTTGAGAAGGAATAGTTGCTGCCCACTGGCCAACACTGGTTTCTATCCAATCCTTCTAAGTGAATCTGTTGCCAAAGGTGGTCTGTGGTAGTTTTAAAGGTCTTAATGACTGGTTGAATCCAAGAAAAACCCTCTGGTAGGCAACCATATGCACCTAGCTTCTTTGGGGAGCCCCTTGAAAATTTATGTTTCTTCCTTCTCTCATCCCCTTATTATCTAACACAAGATATACTAATAATAGTTAATTTTATATCTTAGTATTTAAGTTATAGAATATCAAAGTGTTATCAGCTAGGAGAAAAATGAACAGCACTCACAGACAAAAAATGACTTTTATCATCTTCTTTGGAAAGGGTTAGTACATTAATAGTTTTATGGAGGATAGTTGTGTTACATTAGGTGGAAGCATGACTTTGTTACTGTCTTTATTTGGAGATTAAGTATGGATTAAGGAAAGGTGTATGATGCCAGGTTGACAAGAAGTAAAACTATGATGGTTCTGTAATGTGTCAACTTGGCTAAGGTGAATTATTTTTCCTAGAATTTCTTTCTTTTAAGTTACTACTTTGGGTGGGCTGCAAAGGAGATTCTTGGAAGATTGTAATGTGGAAAGGAAACAGCAGCCATTTTGTAGCTCACATATGTTGTTGGTGACTGCTGACTCCCCTTTGTTGCAGCTTGACCTGCAACTGCTTTACCCTCTTCTAGATCCTTCTTCAGCTTCTCCAAATCCTGGGCTAGGTATGTGTGTTTAGCTCTGTGACCAATGGCCCCTACTTCTGGAAGCTACCGTCACCACCAAGGACAAAGGCAACAAGAATTAACATGGGTTTCAGTCTATTCTCATGAGGTTCAAGCTTGTATTTGTGACTTCCAGCCTGACTTTGACTTCTCCCATTTTACTTCCATCTTCCTTCCTGACTGCCTTGTCAACGTCAAATTCCAGCATCACACATAGACACGGCAGTGTTATAGGGCTGCCTAATCAGCTCTTATAATTGTGTAAGCCAATTCCCTATAACAAATCCATATATACATATACATATACTTTGCTACTAGTTGTGCTTCTCTGGTTGAACACTGACTGATATACCAGGGATAAAGAAGGTCATTTCATGATAAAAAAAAAAAAAGTGGTCAATCAAAAGAAATAACAATCCTAAATATGTATACAACGTGTGAGCTTCAAAATATGTAAATTAAAAACTGACAAGACTCCCATGGAGAAATATACAAATCCACAATTATAGTCAGCAATCCATACTCTTATCTAAATAATTATTTTTAATATTAGTAAATCAGCAAGGTATATAGTACATTTGAATAATACTGTCCACCAACTAATTGACAATAATCAAATACTTCACCCAACAGCTGCAGAATATATATCCTTCTCAAATGTGCCTGGAACATTTATGAAGATAGACCATATTCTGTGCCATTAACAAGTCTAAATGTATTTAAAAGGATTCAAGTCATACAAAGTATGTTCTCTGATTACGATGGAATTAAATTTAAAATTAACATCCGAAAAATCTCTGGAAAATTCCCAAATATTTACAGACTAAAAACCCTTCTGAATAATCCACGGGCCAAAGAAGAAATCTAAAGGGAAATTAGAAAGTATTTTGAACTAAAGGAAAATGAAAATACAATATATCAGAATTTGTGGGATACTATTAAAGCAGTACATAGGGGAATATTTACAGCACTGAATTTCTATATTAGAAAATAAGAACTATCTCAAATCAGTGACCTCAGCTTCCACTTTAACCAGAAAAAGAAGAGCAAATTAAAACCCAAAAAATTAACTCAAGATGGATCATAGACCAAAATGTAAAACCTAAAACTTCTATAAGAAAACAATAGAAGAAAATCTTGGTAACCTTAAGTTAGGAAAATATTTTACATGTGACACCAAAAGCACAATCCACAAAGAACCAATTAATAAATTATACATCATCAAAACTTAAAACTACTGTTCTTCCAAAAATACTGTTAAGAAAACTTAAGCCACATTATATTTGCAAAGCATGTATGTGATAAAAGACATGCATCCAGAATAGATAAAAGATTTGTACAGATACTTTACCAAGTAATAATACAAATATCATATAAGTATATAAAAAGGACTAAGTTTTATTAGTCATTAGGGAAATGCACATGAAAACCAAGTGAGTTGGTTAGGATGTAGAAGAACTGGAACTTTTCGGGGCGGTATAGCTCATGCCTATAATCCTAGCACTCTGGGAGGCCAAGGCAGGCACATCGTTTGAGCTCAGGAGTTCGAGATCAGCCTGAGCAAGAATGAGACCCTGTCTCTACCAAAAATAGAAAAAATTAGCTGGGCATAGTGGCACATTCCTGTAGCCCCAACTACTCTGGAGACTGAGGCAGAAGGATAGCTTGAGCCCAGGAGTTTGAGGTTGCTGGGAGCTGGGCTGATGCCATGGCACTCTAGCCAACGCAACAGAGTGAGACTCCGTCTCAAAAAAAAAAAACAAACAAACAAACAAAAAAACAAACAGGTATGGCACAGAAAATGGATAGTCCTCCTGAGGTTGCTGTGAGCTAGGCTGACGCCACGAAAAAAACTCTAGCCTGGGCAACAAAGCGAGACTCTATCTCAAAAAAAAAAAAAAAAAAAAGAATTGGAATTCTCATGCACTGGTGGTGAGTATGTAAATGGTACACCCACTCTGAAAAATAGTGTGACAGCTTCTTAAAACATGAAACATACAGCTACCATTAGAAAGGGGGAAAAAAGTATATGTCGCTATAAAGACTTGTGCACAAATGTTCACGGCTGTATTTGTAATAGAAAAAACTGGAAATAACCCAAATGCCCATCAACTAGTGAATGGATAAACAAATTGTGACATATACACATACAATGGAATATTATTCAACTACAAAGAGACATGAACTATTGATACATACAGCAATATAGATGAATCTCAAACTAATGTTTAGTGAAAGAAGTCTGACAAAAAAAGAGTGAATTCTGTATGATTCCATTTAAACAAATCGATAGAAAATCCAAACTAATCTCCAGTAACTAGTGGTGGGGGACAGAGGTTGGGAGCAAGGGCATAACCAAGGAGCAGAAGGAAACTTCGGGGGTTGATAGATATGTTCCCTATTTTGATTGTGGTGACAGTTTCACCTCTGTATATATTATTAAATTATACACTTTAAATATTTGAGGTTTGTTTTGTTTTTTGAGGCAGGGTCTCACTCTGTGGCCCAGGATCGAGTGCAGTGGCAGATCATAGCTCATTGCAGCCTCCAACTCCTGTGCTCAAGCCATCCTCCTGCCTCAGCCTCCCCACAGCCACCTCCAACCACACTCCGCTAATTTTTTTTTTTTAACAGACGGGGGTCTCACTATGTTGCTCAGGCTGGTCTTCAGCAATCCCCCCGCCTCTACCTCCCAAATCTCTGGGATTACAGGCGGGAGCCACTGCGCCCCACTTGCTATTTATTTTGGTAGATTATACAGCAATAAAACTTCCTTTTAAAAGCTTTTTACTTTTTAAAAGAAGTATCTGCACTCTCTACTTGGGAGGGGTGGGCCGAAACAAGTTCCCACCTCTCTTTCCCCTTACACGTATATTATCCGGAAGATTTCATACATGCAAAGAAGGTCTTGGGCTGGGACCAAGAAACCATTTTCTTCTACCTCAACCATCACTTCAGCCATCCACCATTTTCTCAAATCTGTACCTTTCCCCAGCACCTAAACCCAAGTCACTTGTCTCTCTGGTCTCAAACATTCTACCAACCTCTCCTCATTTCCCAAGATACTTCTATGGACACAGCTATATCCTTTCCTACCCTGAAGGCCGCCAACCACCCTAATCTCGCCCCATTTCAAGTCCTTCTTCTCACCCTGATCCTTTAGGAGGGCTGTACTGGCAAGCCAACTAAGCAGACCATGAAAATCCAGCTTCCCAGAAATTCTGGGATTCATTACTGAGCATCACTTATTTCTAGGCAGTTTCTCATAGTGTGGTCCCAGGACCAACAGCATCCGGATCACCTGAGAAGCTGGGCGCACGCCCGGCCCTTACTGAGTCCTACACTCTGGGCGTAGCGGCAGCAGTCAGTATTTTAATAAGGCGTCCAGGTGATTCTGAGACGCGCCACTGTTCTGGGGGTGAAGGAAAAACAGAGAGGACAGGAAGAAAGTTAGAATGGAAGCACACCTGTGAATGATGCGATTAAGATTATGCGATGGGGGAAGGGTGGTTATTTAAAAAAAGACTAATGAAGATCTCATTATATAGTCAGAAAACCTACCCTGCCCCTGAGAACTTTCCCAATAGATAATGGATTCCGACATTCACCTCAAGAACCGGCAGATAGGGCAGCAAGGTGATCTGTCTCTGGCCAAGCAGGTCCCTGGCTAAGGCGCCTCTGGAGGCAGCTCCGCGGGCGTTCAGGAGTTAATTCTCGGCGCTTGCGCGAGACGTGCCATAGAGCTGAGCAATCCTCCCAACGGCCTAGAGTGGACAGTGTGATGGCGGGCAGGCGGAGTGGGAGGCTGGACGGCGGTCCGGGGACCAAGTCGAGGTACGCGTGAGGCCGGCTCATGGAAGGCCGAGGAATCCCGGGTGGATCTAGCCGACAAGGGCCTCGCAGCGCCACCGAGAACCTGTGTTCGGTTTCTCGAGTCCATGGAGAGTCCAGGCCGCCAGGGTCGCTCCTAGGCATGAAGTGCTGCTTGGCTCTCGTCCTGGAGTTCTGCCGGTACCCGGTCAGCCCTTGCTGGGACTTGGGTTCAACTGAATGAACGCCAGAACTTCTGGGGGACGCGTGGAATCACGAACCGTGAGTGAATCCACGCGAATCAGCCGACCATACCTGGAAAGCGCATCCGGAATCTGTGAATGTTGGAAAAAGCGAAGGAGAGAAAGAAAGATCATGATAATCCATTTTTGTACAAGAAGGGCAACGAATAACATAGCGTTAAGGTGAAATTCCTTTTCCTCCGTTATCTTTCCTGTTATGCCCTTATTTGGTAGCATTAACCCCCAATTTTATTTAAACATCTCTAGATTTTGAATGGGGAATGTTTGTGCAAAAGGCGTCATGCCTGATTCCCAAATGATGAGGAAGGAAGCTTAATAAAGTCTGAGAAAAAAAAGCACCTAAATGAGATTTGGTTTTTCCTTCCCTTTTTCTATATCTAGAGGATGTTTCTGATGGTCTAGTCTCAGAAATTACATCACTAGTCTGCACAGTGGTTCCCTTCCAAGCCCAGTGGTGCCCAGTTGCCTCCAAGTCTCAACCCTTATGTGGACAAGAAAAGTTTACACAGGAAATAGTTAATTCTTCACTTGCTCCCTGAGGTGTCCAGTTGCAGTCCATGGAGATCCAGTTCAATTATGAATCTCAAGAACACCACCTTTTCTCAGGTGAGAAGCAGTGTATTATATCTTTCTTAGTGGTTTTGGTTGGGGTGTGAAGTATAAGGGATGGTAGTGACTTCAAATGATGTCAGTATTCTTCATTGTCTGCATCCTCACTCTGTTAGGCAATATTATCTCTTTAGTACTCCAAGCATAGTCATGTGGCTTTATTTACAATTCTAGCAATCAGATTCTCATACAGTTCCCTCCTCTTTATTAAGGTCCCACAGTCATCCATTTTTTCCTATATAATCATCCTATAACCACTCTGTCAATGTTTAGCATTTTCCTTTAAATTCTTTTCAAGTCATCTTTCTCATCTGCAGTAGGGCCATAATTAAAAGTTTTGGAGTCTGACAACCTGGATTCAAATACCAGCTTTGTCACTCACTAGCTTCAATAAGTTACATATTTTACGGCTCTATTTCTTCACTGTATAAGTGTGTAATAATTCATACCTTGGAGGTTATTTGTGTCTATTACTTAGCGACTAAACTAAACTAAACTTAGTGACATAAAACATCACACATTTTTAAACCCTGTTACTTTAATGGTTCTGTAGGTCATCAACTTGAGCTGAGTTCAGCTGGGCTGTTTTTCCTCCTGGTCTTGACTAATGTCACTCATGTATTTATCTAGTGGCTCTACTGGGGTGGGGGTCTAAGATGGTCCCAATAACATGTCTGACTGTTGGTGTTGGCTATGGCTTGGTTCACACATCTCCAGCAGTCTAGCATGAACTTTTTCACAGGGCAGCTAGTTTCCAAAATCAGAAAGAGGGCACTCTTTTATATTTGTGTTACATCTGTTAATATCTCTTTGACCAAAGTGAGTCACATGACCAGTTCCAAAGTTTATTGTGGAAGGAGACTACACAACGATATAGATGCTGTGAGACAGAACTTATGAGGGACTTTAATAAATGCAGTTTCAATGGAGTTACAGAGATAAAGTCCTAATTACAATGCACTAAAAAGAGAAAAGACTTAATGTCAGAACATAGAGCAATGTGAACTTTTATATACTCCTGATGGAAGTGTGAATTGGCTCAACAACTTGTGGGACTATCTAGTTGAAGATCCAGTTAAGTCTAGGTTATGTAAACTTGATTCCAGAGAAACACTTCATATGTGCACCAAGATAAATGTACAATCATATCCATGTCAGCATTGTTTGTAAGAGCAAAATATTATTGTTCATTGAAGGAGAATGGGTAAACAAATTGTGGTATATGTCCATTCTGTAGTAGTGAACATGAATGGACTACAGCTACACATATTAACATGGGTGAGTCTTCCACATATAATGTTGAACAAACAAAGCAAGTCACAGAATACATGTGGTATAATTCCATAAATATATAAAGTCCTATATTAGTCTGCTAGGGCTACCATAACAAAACACCACAGACCAGGTGGCTTAAACAACAGAAATTTATTCTTTCACAGTTCTGAAGACTGGAAGTCTAAGATCAAGGGGTGAGCAGAGTTGATTTCTCCTGAGGCCTCTCTACCTGGCTTACACATGTCCGTGTTTTCTCTGTGTACATACCTCCCTGGTGTCTCTTCCTCTTCTTAGAAGGACACCAGTCCTATTGGATTAGGACTCCACTTTGTGACTTCGTTTAATCTTTATTACCTCCTTAAGGGCCCAGTCTCCAAATATAGTCACATTGTTGGTTAGGGTTCAACATATGAATTTGGGGAGACACAATTCAATCTATAACACTTGCAAAACCAAAAATATTTTCTTAAATATACAGACATTTGGTAAAGCTCTAAAAAAAAGCCAGAGAAAGATAAACACAAAATTCAGCATAGTGATTACAAGGGTAGGTTGCAAAAGGGGTTGGAAGGAGATAGGATCAAGAAAGCATGTGCAGGAGTGTTGGAAATTTTCTGGTAATTTTTGTTTGTTTTTTGTTTTTTGCTTAAGCTGAATGGAAGGTTCAATTGTGTTTCTTGCACCATTATCATTATTTTTTTAATTGCACATATATATACATGTATGTATATTTTTTCTATGTATAAAATACTTAATAACATAAAATACATATAGAAATGAAAAAGTAAAGTTTTTCAAGGAGAATTGCTGTAAAGGGAAACAAATGAAGCAATATAAGGTTAGATTGTAAGATCAAGGGTTTCTGTGTTGTTCAAGTCTAATGTATCCTTACTGACTTTTTTTTTTTTTTTTGAGAGAGAGACAGAGAGTCTCCCTCTGTTGCCCAGCCTAGTTCACAGCAACCTCAAACTCCTGGGCTCAAGCAATCCTGCTTCCTCAGCCTCCCGAGTAGCTAGGACTACAGGCATGCGTCACCATGCCTGGCTAATTTTTTCTATATATACTTTTAGTTGGCCAATTAATTTCTTTCTATTTTTAGTAGAGACGGGGTCTCGTTCTTGCTCAGGCTGGTCTTGAACTCCAGACCTTAAGCGATCCTCCCACCTTGGCCTCCCAGAATGCTAGGATTACAGGCGTGAGCCACCATGCCTGGCCTTTACTGACTTTTATTAAATCTACTTTAGTGAGGTATAATTTATAAACAATAAAATATACCCCCTTTATTTATGCATTTAGATGAGTTTTGACATATTTAAAAACCCAGAGTAGACTCCCTTCACAATCAAAACATAGACATGTTATATCAGTGCCCTTCCCCAAAATTTCCTTGTGTTCCATCCAGTTCCTCCCCATTCCTAAGCAACCATTGATATGCTTTCTGTCACTATATATTTGATTTGCCTTCTTTGCCATTTCCTGTAAATGGAATTATACTATTTTATGCCTGTCTTTAGTTCAGTGTAATGTTTTTGAGATTCAACTATGTTGTTGCTTTATCAATAATTAATTATTGTTTATTGCTGAATCCTGTTTGATTGTATGGATGTATCACAATCTGTTGATGAATATTTGGATTGTTTACATTTCTGGCTGTTTTATTAATAAAGCTGCTCTGAATATTTGGGTACAAGTCTTTGTGTGGACATATGTTTTTATTTCTCTTGGGTAAATACCTAGAAGTAGAATTTCTAGGTTGTATAGTAAGATTATGTTTAATTTTATGAAAAGCTGCCAGAATTTTCTAAGGTAGATATACCATCATCAGCAATGTATGAGAGTTCCAGTGCCTCTACATCCTTGTTAACATTTAACCATTAATTATGTTAGCTGTATTATCAGTAATTGGTATTTACCAGTAGCTCCTTGCAGTTTAATTTGCATTTCCCTGATAACTAGTGACACTGAGCATTTTGTCATGTGCTTGTTGACTATTCATATAATTTCTTTAGTGAACTGTGTCGTCTAATCTTTGCCTCTTTTTATTGAGTTGTGTTCTCGTTTTTGAGTTATAAAAGTTCTTTCTGTATTCTGGCTACAAGTCTATTGTCAGATATATGCTTTGTGAATATTTTGTCACAGTCTATGGCTTCACTTTCTTTTCTTAATAATGCCTTTTGAAGAGTAGAAGTTTATAATTTTGATGAAGTTTAATTTTTTTATTTTATGATTCATGCTTTGGTGTCCTATCCTTTCCCAAAATCATGAGGATGGTCATATGTGCTTTCTTCTAGAAGTTTTATAGTTTTAGCTTTAATGCTTAGTTTTATGTTACATTTCCAGTTAATTTTTGTGTATAGTGTGAGGAAAAAAGAGTTCATTATTGTCATCATAATATCTGGTTCCAGTACTTTTTGTTGAAAAGGGGGTATCCTTTCACCATTGAATTATCTTGGCACCTTTGTTGAGTAGTTGTACATATATTTTTGGATCTATTTCTGAATTCTGTTCTATTCTGTTAATGGATATGTCTGTCCTTATATCAATACAACACTGCCGGCCGGGCGCGGTGGCTCACGCCTGTAATCCTAGCACTTTGGGAGGCCGAGCCGGGCGGATCGCTAAAGGTCAGGAGTTCGAACCCAGCCTGAGCGAGACCCCGTCTCTACCAAACATAAAAAGAAATTAATTGACCAACTAAAAATATATATACAAAAAATTAGCCGGGCATGGTGGTGCATGCCTGTAGTCCCAGCTACTCGGGAGGCTGAGGCAGTAGGATCGCTGAGCCCAGGAGATTGAGGTTGCTGTGAGCCAGGCTGACGCCATGGCACTCACTCTAGCCTGGGCAATAAAGTGAGACTCTGTCTCAAAAAAAAAAAAAAAAAAATACAACACTGCCTTGATTACTGCAGCTTTATAGTAAAGCTCGAAATCAGGGAGTGTAGCTTCTCTAATTTTGTTTTTCTTTTTCAAAATTGTTTAGACTCCTCTGTGCCTTTCTATATAAAGTTTAGAATCAGTTTGTCAATTTGTACAAAAAAACCTGCTAGGTTTTTAATTGGCATTGCTTTGAATCTGTAGATCAATTTGGGGAGAATTATCATCTTAATAATATTAAATCTTCATATTCATAAGTAATGGTGTATATTTCTATTTAGTAAGTCTTTAATTTCTCTCAGCAATATTTTGTAGTTTTCATTATACAGATATTGCACATATTTTTTTGAATTTGTAAGTATTTTATTTTGGGGTATGATTGAAAAGTTTTAAATTTTAGGTTCTGATTGTTGCTTGCGTACATAAATACACTTGGTTTTTGTATATTGATCTAATAAACTCATTTACAAGTTCTGATAGCTTTGTTTGAGATAGCTTAGGGATTTTATATATATATGATTGTATAGTTTTTAAATAGAGACAGTTTGACTCTTTCTTTCCCATTTGTATATCTCAGTTATTTTTCATGTCTTACCACATTAGCTAGGAATATTGAATAGAAGTGGTACAATGTTGAATACCAATGATAAGAGTGGGCATCCTTGTCTTGTTCTTAGGAGAAAAGCATTCAATATTTAACCATTAAGGATGTTGCTAGAGGTTTTCTTTGTTTTTTATTGGAGCAGTCAGTTTACGTATAATATAACTGATGTGCTTTGATTTAGATATACTCACTTCTTATTTTGTTTTCTTTATTTGTTTTTTATTCTATTTATTATTTCTTTTTCCTCTTTTTGTGTCTAATTTTACATTATCAGGTTTTTTGTTTTTCCAATTTTTTCTCTATTAGCTTATTGTTTATGCATTCTTTTTTTGTTATTTTAATGGCTACCTCATCACAGCCTTTCTCAAATGTGGTTCTGTATGAGAATTAAGCTCTGATGCTTTAAGACATCCATTGTAAGTAATGTATTAGTGTTTCTCTTATACATCTACTATGGTATTAACTGTATACTATCCTTGGGAGAATTAAGAAAATAGCCACTCAAATCATTTTCTGTTTTCTCTTTTGGAACCCTGGTTGAAAAGGCTGCCTTAGAATTTACAACATACACACTAGATTTATTACCGTTTATTTTAATTTACTGCTTCTCAGGCCATGTAAAGACCTTATAATACTTAATTTCTACTTTCTTCCCTCCTCTTGTGCTATTTTTGCCATATATTTTAATTACATATATATTGTAAACTCCACAAGACATTTATATTGCTTTAATCAGTCAGTACACATTTAGATGCATGCAGATACTTTACTTTTTCCAATGCTCTTCATTCCTGCATTACCTTGCTTGCATCTGGAATATTTTTTTCTTCTTGAAAAATTTCATTTAGTATTTCTTTTGATGCAGATCTGCTGGTGAAAACCAGTTTATAGGATTAACTATGGGTAATATTCACAAAGGGGAGGTGCTTTTCTCTATAGTAAGCTAATAATGTATGTCCGTAGTCCTCAACTCCCAGGCCACAGCAGGAGGGGAGCTGTGATCAAAGTCCCACCTGTAGCCACAGCTGCTCCTTATCACTGGCATCACTGCCTGAGCCCCATCCCCCACCAGATCAGCATTGGCATCACACCCTCATAGGAACATGAACCCCACTGCAAACTGCACATACGAGGGATCCAGGTTGCATGCTCTCCGTGAGAATCCAATGCCTGATGATCTGGAGCAGTGCCCCCACCCTCACCCCACCACCACCCCACCCCCATTTTTGGAAAAACTGTCTCCATGAAACTGGTCCCTGGTGTCAAAAAGGCTGGGAACCGCTAATGTATGTTATATATGTCCTATGTTCACTTTGGGTTGCAGACTTATTATTTAAATGTATTACTGTTAAACCCTATATGTCAAAAGATGAAGTAGGGGACATGAAGGCACTCAGTATGCAGCCTCTGTAGGCTAGCCAGAACCACTAGCTGGTCAGTTGCCATGTCAAAAGCACAAAAAGGGAGGGGCAGCATCAGGCAGTTGGTTGAAATCAGCAGTGGAGCAAATCTTCTGAAAGGGCTGGTTTCTGTTTAACTCTTAGGAAAGAAAGCCTAATAGTGGTTTAGCGAAGCAGACATACCTATAATGAGGCATGTCTGACCTCCTGTCTTGTCGTGGCCAGAAACTCAGTTTTTGAGGTTTCTCTGGGGTTCCCTTGGCCTAAAGAGCGGTCCATTCATTTGGTTAGGAATCTTAGGATTTTAGTTTTATTTCTCATATGGAAACTCAGTATTGAAGTGATCTCTATACTTAAGGACTGAGATCATTCATGTTTGTGGCTTTATTGTAAAAGGTGTTTAGAACATAGTATCTGCTCCACTGGTGTGTTAGCAATCAATTTTGTACGATTTCTAAAAATTTATACGGAAAATACAAGCAAGGTAATTGAAGTATTTTGTTTTTCTTCTCTTTCTTTTTTGTTAATACCATACTTTTAGCCCAAGTAATTAGATAGTGCTAGATAAAGCCCAACCACTTCTTTTTCTAGATTTTTTCACAATGCTTATTTTATATATGTTAATAAATTTGGGGGGGGGGGAGTTAGGTCTAATTTAGTCACACTGTCCTAATCACAGTGATTAGGTTTCAATATTCCCAAATCTCCTGTGACAAACATACAGAGCATATCTGGTAAGTCACTACTATAAATGGCAAATGTGATCCATTACTTGCTGATTTGTCCTAGTTTTGCTCTCAGTGGATTAATGTTCACTGTTTTGGAACACTCCCATATTGTGGTAATGTTTTATAGGTAAATATTGATCTGTTTCACCTGAAACTTCCTTACAGTATAGAGAACACATTCCATCTGGATTTTGTTTATTGTTCCAGATGGTGAGACCAAGACCAAGATTAGAAAGCCAGCTTCAGAGAAGGAAACTACAGCAAAAACTGAATCATTGACTGAAGAGTCTGGCAACATCAGAGAGCATGTTCTCCAGGATTCTGAAGGCAGAGAATTCTGTGACTTTGGGAATAAATTAAATGAAAAGGATCATAACCTCTTTAAAAGAAGACAACATAACTGTGATGAATGTGGGCAAAGTTTTGTTTGGAGTACAGGGCTTATTAGGCATCAAAGAACCCACTGGGAGAAACCCTATGAATGTGATAAGTGTGGAAAGGCCTTTACTGTGAGCTCAGCCCTGGTTCTGCATCAGAGAATTCATACTGGGGAGAAACCTTATCCTTGTAACTGTTGTATTAAAAGTTTCAGTCTGAGCTCAGACCTTATTAAACATCAAAGAGTCCACACTGGTGAAAAACCGTATAAATGTGATGAATGTGGGAAAGCCTTCAGTCAGAGCTCAGATCTTATTATACATCAGAGAATCCATACAGGAGAAAAACCCTACCAGTGCAGTCATTACAGTAAAAGTTTCAGCCAACACTCAAACCTGGTTAAGCATCAGAGAAGCCACACTGGAGAGAAACCTTATACATGTAACCAGTGTAACAAACATTTTAGTCAGAGTTCTGATGTCATAAAACATCAAAGAATCCACACTGGGGAGAAACCATATAAATGCAACGTGTGTGAGAAAGCCTTCAGTCAGAGCTCAGAGTTTATTCTACATCAGAGAATCCATACTGGGGAGAAACCATATGCATGTAATCAGTGTAGCAAAAGTTTCAGTCAGAACTCAGGCCTTATTAAACATCAAAGAGTCCACACTGGTGAAAAACCATATAAATGTGATGAATGTGGGAAAGCCTTCAGTCAGAGCTCATATCTTTTTATACATCAGAGAATTCATACAGGAGAAAAACCCTACCAGTGCAGTCATTGCAGTAAAAGTTTCAGCCAGCACTCAAACCTGGTTAAGCATCAGAGAAGCCACACTGGAGAGAAGCCTTATACATGTAACCAGTGTAACAAACATTTTAGTCAGAGTTCTGATATCTTAAAACATCAAAGAATCCACACTGGGGAGAAACCATATAAATGTGATGTGTGTGAGAAAGCCTTCAGTCAGAGCTCAGAGTTTATTCTACATCAGAGAATCCATACTGGGGAGAAACCATATGCATGTAATCAGTGTAGCAAAAGTTTCAGTCAGAACTCAGGCCTTATTAAACATCAAAGAGTCCACACTGGTGAAAAACTATATAAATATGATGAATGTGGGAAAGCCTTCAGTCAGAGCTCATATCTTTTTATACATCAGAGAATTCATACAGGAGAAAAACCCTACTCAGTGCAGGTCATTGCAGTAAAAGTTTCAGCCAGCACTCAAACCTGGTTAAGCATCAGAGAAGCCACACTGGAGAGAAGCCTTATACATGTAACCAGTGCAATAAACATTTTAGTCAGAGTTCTGATGTCTTAAAACATCAAAGAATTCACACTGGGGAAAAACCATATAAATGCAACATGTGTGGGAAAGCCTTCAATCAGAGCTCAGAGCTTATTCTACATCAGAGAATCCATACTGGGGAGAAACCATAGCCATGTAATGAGTGTAGCAAAAGTTTCAGTCAGAACTCAGGCCTTATTAAACATCAAAGAGTCCACACTGGTGAAGAACCATATAAATGTGATGAATGTGGGAAAGCCTTCAGTCAGAGCTCAGATCTTATTCTACATCAGAGAATCCATACTGGGGAGAAACCATAGCCATGTAATCAGTGTAGCAAAAATTTCAGTCCAAACTCAGACCTTATTAAACATTGAAGGATCCACACTGGAGAGAAACCCTATAAATGTAATGAATGTGGAAAAGCTTTTAATCAGATCTCAGTCCTTATTCTACATCAAAGAATTCATGCTGGAGAGAAACCCTATCCATGTAGTCAATGTAGCAAAACCTTTAGTAGGCTTTCAGATCTTATTAATCATCAATGAATTCACACTGGAGAGAAGCCTTACCCATGTCATCAGTGGAATAAAGTGTTTAGTTGAAGATCAGATCTTGTTAAACATCATAGAAGTCATACAGGTGAGAAACCCTATGAATGTGATGAGTGTGGGAAAACCTTTAGTCAGAGCTCCAAACTTATTCTTCATCAAAGAATCCACACTGGAGAGAAACCTCATCCATGTAGTGATTGTACATGAAGCTTTAGTCGCCGTTCAGATCTTGTTAAGCATCAAAGAATACACACTAGAGAGAAACCATATGCATGTAACAAGTGCAGTAAAAGTTTTAGTCAAAGCTCAGACCTCACTAAACATCAAAGGGTATACTCTGGTGAAAAGCCTTATCATTGTGATAGTTGTGAGAAAGACTTCAGTCAGAGTTCTGACCTTAGTCTTCATCAGAGAGTTCACACTGGAGAAAAACCATATGCATGCACACAGTGCAGCAAAAGTTTCAGTCAGAACTCAGACGTCATCAAACACCAGAGAATCCACACTAGGGAAAACCCTTATCAATGTAATGAGTGTAAGAAAGCTTTCAGTCAGTGCTCAGCTCTTATCCGCCATCAGAGAATCCACACTGGGGAGAAACCATATTTGTGTGATCAATGTGGCAAAAGCTTTAGTCAGCACTCTGACCTCATTAACCACCAAAGAATACACCCTGGGGAAAAGCCATATAAATGTGATGTATGTGGGAAAGCCTTCAGCATATGCACAGATCTTGTAGAACACCAGAAAATCCACACTGGGAAGAAACTCTACTGGTGTGTTCGGTGCAACAGAATTTTTAGCCAACTCTCTGATCTTATTAATCATAAGAAAGTCCATTCTGAGGAAGACAGTCTAAATGTGATGAATATGAGAAAACCTTTAGTGTATACATCAACTTTATTCAGTACCAGAGATACCATACCAGAAAAAAATCTTATGAATGCTGTTGATGAGTATGAAAAAGGTTTTAATCAATGCTCAATTCTTATACTACATTAACAAAAACCACATGGGAAAAAACATTAATTCACTTTTTATAATGAAAGTTTCACTCAGAGTTCAGACATTACTAAAATTAAGCAAAATTTGGAGAAAGAGTCCTTTGAGTTGTGGGAAAACTTTCAATATGAATAAAATTTGTGCTGAATGTCAGTAAGCAACAACAAAACAAATTCCTACCTTTGCTATAATGTAGGAAAAGCTCTAGTGCTTTATTCAGACATAATCCACAAAAGGAGAGTTGTATCATTGCAAGAAATGTATGACAATGTAGAACTTATCTGATGTTGTAAAAATTAGTGTGGGGAGGTGTTCAACTGAGAAAGAAATGTATTAGTGTTATAATCTAAAACCTTTAGTGAGCCCAAATTACCAATTGTATATCAGAAGTTATGTTAGAGAATGTAGGGAAAACTTAAGTCCCTTCCATATATTAAGTGCCATTTATGCTGATATGACACTTATTCCCTAACAGCTAGTCCTACCTTAAGCTAACATAGATGTCTATCTGTAAATTCCCCATGTGTTAACATACTATACCATTCTGGTATTAAACTGATTAGTTAGATAACTCCAGTGGCCCCTTTTCTTAGTTTTTATGTTTTTAGGGTTTTTTTTTAGGGGGGATCTAGTTTTGATTTTCCTAGTGGGCATGAGTTTGTACAAGTTCCTGTAATGTTCACAGCAAATATTGATTTATTTTATTTTCAGTAATGCAGCCCATAAACTTTGTTTGAAATTACTTCCTTACTACTAATCACAGCTTCTAAACATGTAAAACAGGATTTAAAATTGTTTTCCATATGTCAAAGTGTGAAGTTTTTCTGTTACTGTCTATCTTGTCATCTATAGAGTGGACAAAAATGGTAGCTGTGATATTGTGATTTATAATAAGAAATATATACTTGGTCTTCATCCCCTGGTACAAAGCTCCTAAAACCCTTGGTATTTCCTCAATGATAAGAGTTATTGAAATGAAAAGAGAGCTGGGCACAATGGCTCACACCTGAAATCCTAACACTTTGGGTGGCTGAGGTGGGAGGATTGCTCAAGGCCAGGAGTTCAAGACCATCCTAAGAGTGGGACCCCGTCTCTACAAAAAATAGAAAAATTAGCCAGGGATCATTGTGCACACCTGTAGTTACAGCTGCTCAGGAGACTGAGGCAGGAGGATCACTTGAGCCCAGGAATTTGAGGCTGCAGTGAGCTATGTTCAGGCCACTGCACTCCAGCCTGGGTGACAAATCGAGACCCTGCCTCAAAAAAAAGATAAAAGGCATGTTTTTCGTTATTCATAAGTCCCTTTCAACCACACTTGAGTTTATATTAATGAGAGGATTTTTGGAAAGACCTTAGAGAACCATATGATGGGGGCTGGTTGCCAGGGGAACCGACCATATGATTAGAGAGTTGGAACTTTCAGACCAACCCCACCCCACCTTGACCCCAGGAGGGGAGAGGGGCTGGAGATTGAGTTCAATCAACAGTGGCCAGTGATTTAATCAATCATGCCTACATAATGAAGCCTCCATAGAAACCTAAAGGACAGGAATCTGAGCGCTTGTGGGGTGTTGAACTTGTGAAGGTGGGTCCTAGGAGGGTGACATGGCTCAGGAGGGCATAGAAGTTCAGTGGTCCTTCTCACACACCTTGCTCTGTGCATCTTTCATCTGGCTGATCCTGAGTTGTACCCTTTTATAATAAACCCATAATCTAGTAAGTAAAATGTTTTCCTGAATTCCATGAGCCATTCTAGTAAATGCTCAAACCCAAGGAGGGGGGTTGTAGAAACCTCAGATTTATAGCCAATTAGAAGCACTAGTGAAAACATGGATGTGTGATTGGTGTCTGAAGTTGGGGGGGGCGCGGTGGGACACAGCAGTCTTCTTGAACTGAGCCCTAAACCTGAGGGGTCTGTGCTAACTCCAAGTAGACAGTATTAGAATTGAATTGCAGGACACCCAGTTGATGTCTACAAAGAATTGGAGGATTGCTTGGTGTAGGAAAACCCCATACACATCTGATGTTAGAAGTGTTGTGAGTATAGAGAAGATAGTTTTTCCCATAGGGTAGCTAAAGTGATTTCCTAAATGATTAATTTGTATAGCATATTCTGTGTAAAAATAAAAAGACCTTTTGATCTTGTTTTTCAAGTGACAATATTCATTAGATTTTTTGTTTGTTTTGGTTTTTGATTTCTGACATACATATTGATAACAAACAGCATATTTGCAAAGTTTTCAACTGAAAAATTGAAATAGTTTTTTAAAATAAAAAATTCAAATTGTCATTTACTTTGACTATCTCCCATAATTATCCAATTAATATTTCAATTTAACAAACATTGTTAAATTTTATGGGCAAGGCATTTGGTGAGGTTTTGTAGTATATACAAAGAATATATCATCTCTTCCAATAAAGTGTATATTGTATAGTGATAGAGACATATATACAGAAAACACATGACCCAATGTTATAAGGGTAGGACAAGATGCTTATAAGAGCTCAGAGGAGATAAGGTTCAATTTTAATTGGAAAGAAAAGGAAAAGCTTTGTGGGGCTCCTGAAATTTGAGTTTTGAAGAATAGGAGTAGGGGCATAAAGGCAGGAATAGTCAACAAAGACACAGAAGTAAGGAAGTACAATAAATGATGTGGCTATGGTGCTCAGTCATTAATTCATTAAATAAATATTCAGTGTCAGGCACTGTACTAGGTCCTGCTGAAGAGAGGAAAAAAGGCCCCTGCTCTCAAGAAGCTCACAGAAACAGTTATAATGCATTATGTAAATACTGATTGAAATGTGCACTTAGAAGTAAGAATGAGGTGGAAATTAAAATGAGGTAGGAAAAAAGACTGTTAAGGAGTGTGATGCTAAAAGGTGAGGGACTTTAATTTTCTGGCCTTTAGTTTCATTATCTGTAAAATAAAAGTACTAGGTGCGGTTGGATTAAATTTCCTATTTCTGCATTTTATTCTCAAAGTAATAGAAAGCCATTGGGTCTTTGGACCAGAGAATGGCAGGATCATCTTCCTGCTTTAACAAGAATCTAAGATTAAAAGAGGGAAAGAGACAGTGGAAAGGAAAATTATTTTAAAAGTCTGGAAATAAGATCATGATGTCCAGAAGTAGAAGAGCTAATAGGCCTCGACAGACACAATGATAGGCTGAGAAGTGAGTAGGGAGAAAAGTGTACAATTATCATCTGTTCTATGGGGAATTTAAAAAGTGAAGGAGAAAAGTAGGATGATCTCCAAATCTATTTCTGAAAGTTACCTCTCTCCTGAGAATAAAATTTAAGAGCTTACTATGCATTTCTGTCTAGTGTCCTAAGGTAAACTCAAATTCATGAACTTAACACACACACCCATGATTTCTTCCACCTAAATTCCCTATCCTGATGAATTATACTACTAAACAGCTTCTCATCCAGAGAAAATGACTGGTAATCATCCTACACTCCTCACTCCCTCAGTTTTCCAAATCTAGTTGCTCATTAGGTCTTAGAAATGAGTTGCAAAACTGTAAACTCAAACAATAGTGAGGAATATAGAGTAAAAAGGGAAGGAAAATGTAGAGAATTGGGCCTGACACTTTATGCATATTGATTCCTTCAGGTATTTGCTGACTCTTGAACTGGTAGGGCAAAGAGCCAAGAAAACTATTCAGAAATTGCTGGAAGACTCACTGTGATAGGGAATAAAAATTGGAGCACAGAATATGCCAATTAGCCAGTGTCCTTGTAAATACACTGCATTCTCGATGTAAACATGATATGGCTATACCCTAGGAAAGAGGATGAAACCTGTGTGACCAAGTCTAAAAAAGTCTGAAATGCAATGTCAAGTAAGGTCATACTTGTAGTGAAGTAAATTGTCTGCCCTCAATATAGCTACCAGTTAGAAGAGAGGAAAGGGTGAATCCTCTCTGGAGGATGACCATCCAGAGACATAATTTTTCATGCACAGTATGTTTAATAAAAAATTCCAGAGCCATTAGAGTAAGAGACATCAATATGAACCCACATTACAATTTATACACACACAGATGGATACACAGAGAAACAATTACAGAAAATGTGTCTATACATGGGTTCATATATGTATATTAATATTACCTAATTCTGTTCTCTGAGAGTACCTAGAAGCACTGACACCTCAGTAGCAATGAGCATATGCTGATCTTTGTTTCTAAATACCATTTTCCAAATAAAAGGAACCAGCCTCCTTTGAGAAATGACTGATTCAGAGCTATGGCAGGGAAAATACAAGATGAGCCTAGAGCATCTTATAGTACAGAAGTTAGGCAAGAACTCAAAAAACAAAATAATAGGGGTATGTCAAAGGAACACAGTAGCCAACCTAAAGGAGTTCCTAAGGCCAAATAAATACACATGAGTCCATACTGATAAATAAGTACAAGAGAAGAGACAAATCCTTATGGAAAAATTCCAAATTATATATTTAGACTCTCTCCCCTTCAGGAGGCAGAGTTTGTATCTGAACTACACAACCCTAGAGGAGGCTGAACCTCTTGAATCACTTCCAAGGAATAAAGTCTGGAAAAGGAAAAACAGTAACAACAGCAAAGAAACCTGACAAAAACTAACTTAACTCAGGGTTTCTCAACCTCAACACTATTGAAATTTTGGGCCAGGTAATTCTTGTCTGTGGGGAGCTGTCTGGATTTATAGGGTGTTTAATACCATCCCCAGCCTCTATCCCCTAGATACCAGTAGCAAACCTTCACCAGTTAAGACAACCAAAAATGTCTCTATACCTTACCAAATGTCCTCTGGCAGGCTTCTCACCTTCATGAGATGCACTACCTAAAAGTTAGTATAACCAGTGATGTTATGTGAACATCATGTACCACTTGGAATGATGTGATGAGATGGTCACTTCAACTCTGTAGTATTCTTTTCAAAAACCTATAATCCCCAAATAAATCAGAAATGAAAGGGGGCATGTTACTCCTGATATTAGAAAAATAAAAAAGGATTACAAGAGAATACAAGGAATTATTGTACACCAACAAATTGGATAATCTAGATGAAATGGACAAATTCCTAGAAACACAACCTTCCAATGAATCATGAAAAAATAGAAAATCTGACTAGAACTACAACTATTTAATAATAAGATTAAATCAGTATTCAAGTACCTCACAACAAAAAAAGGCCAGGACCAGATGGCTTCACTGGGTAATTCTACCAAAAATTTAAAGAAGTAACACCAATCTTTATTGAACTCCTACAAAATATTTTTACCTTAAGTTTGGTACTTGTCCCTATAGTTGAACAAAGAATGAGGACAAGTGGTTTGAGGAAAAGGAAAGAGAAGTTTATCAATTTGTTGGCAAATGAGGAGAATGGTAGATCTCATCTTAAAGAACCATCCTCCTGCTTTTAAGCAGAAGTAAGAGCTTTTAAAGGGGGTTTTTAGCTTCAGCCTATTACTGTTTAACTATGGTTGGTGGTCCTGGTCAACTGTATCTCCAGTGAAGATGACCTCATGGCCTTTGCCCAAACAATTCCATTGAGCCATCTTCTATGGTTTAGAACAAAGAACAAAGAATACTTTTCTACACCTCTGATTACTGGCCATAGCAGGAATGTAGATTTTAATTCCCAAAAAGAGTGAGGAAGGTTTTAAAGAGACAACCTATAATACATTTTGCCCTTTTTCAGCCCTTTACTTCCATGACAATATTACAGAGGAGGAAATACTTCCAAACTCATTTTATGAGGCCAGCATTAACCTGACACCAACCCAGACAAAGACAGTACAAGAAAACTAGAGACCAATATCCCTTACAAATACAGAAGCAAAAATCCTCAACAAAATAAAATACTAGTAAACACAATTCAACAACACATTAAAATAACTATACATCATGACCAAGGGCGATTTATTTTTGAAATACAGAATGGTTGAACATACAAAAATCAATCAATGTAATACATCACAGTAACAGAATGAAGAGAAAAAAAAAACCACATGATCATCTCAATTGATACAGAAAAAGTATTTGACAAAATTCAA